CACAGAAACGCGTTTCACACGTAAAGCTCCAATATTTTGTCAGCCAAGAATAATCCAAGAGCTGACGATGTGCATATACAGTCGAACCTGTGTAACTGAGCCACCCTAGGGACTGGCTACCAGTGGCTCATTTAGGCAGGTGGCTCACTTAAGAAAATTCGCGTCTTCCAACTTGCGAAAAGGAACATTTATGTAACTTTCACAAAATTGTTTCATGATAGGTGTCAGGTTAATGTCAATACCACTTTTCCTTGATTTGCATAACTGTTTATCAACAAATTTATTTACTTCATAATACATTTGTGAAAAAAAAGTTATACTAGAAATAAATGTACATGTACATGTATTTACATAAACATGATGAAAAGGTTTTTGACTGTAAAATTATTGGGGGCTTGAAGAAATCACTGATAGAAGACTGCTTCTTTGTTTTGAGACGCACTGCTGTGGTCATATCATGCAGGTCCATAACCTTGTTTACATAAGAAGCATTTCCGTGATGTAAAGCAAAGTCTTTCAGCTGTTCAAGAAATGTCTGGGCCTGAGCAACTGAGCAGATCTGGGGTTCTGGAGTGTCATCAACATCATCAAATTCAACTTCAGAATCATTAGCAAGAAGCTTTTGTGCAGGTAGTGTCCAATCAGTGGCAGGCTGTGTGGTGGGTAGGTCTTTGTCAAGCTGGTCAAGTTAGTTAAAATCATGATTGAATAAGTCTTTGGAAAGTCTGAGGATTGAGAGGGGAATGTCACCTTCTGGGTCATCTGTTTCTTTAACAAAGGATGTGGCATCACTTGCCTCACACACCTCTGTGGTCAACCCAGCATGTGCAAAGCATTTCTGGACTGTTGAAGAATCAACTTCCTCCCATGCTTTGCCTACCCAGTGGACAGCTTGAAGAACTGTGATGCTGCGAAGCACTTCAGGCCCAGTGATGGTCTTGTCTTTCTCCAGCTCACTCAAAATGTAGGTCAGTTGCTTCTTTCTGTATTTCAGCTTCATGGCCTGGATAATACCGTGATCCATAGGCTGAGAAAGTGACGTTGTATTGGCAGGCAGGAAAACAAGTTACGTGAGGGGGTGAGAAGGGGCATTATTTAAGAAAAGCAAAACTTTTCTGTATTGAGCTTTCATTTTTCTGTCAAAACTCTTAAGCCATTCAGAAAAAATATCACTGGTCATCCAGGCCTTGGCGTTATTTGATATCTGACAGGCAGGGCTTTCACATTTATGGATTTGAAGCAGCGTGGCTGTCTGGCCTTGCCAATCACAATGGGGTCAGTTTTTCTCCTGTCATTGAAGCATATAAGCCAATAGTCACGCGTTCTTTTGACTGCTTGCCATCTGCACAGTCACTGCCCTTCACATGGTAAGTTTTATTTGTACTGCTGTGTCGGAAAAATAAACCTGTTTCGTCCATATTGAAGATATCCTGGGGTCTGTAGCCTTTACAAACTGTAGGAAGTTTTTCTTTCCAATCAGAAACAACATTTCGGTCCACATCACCACTCTCTCCACCAGTTGTGCCAAGAACAATGTTGTGTCTTTTCAGAAAAACTTTCTAACCAGCCATTAGAAGCATGAAATGTGTCAATCTTCAGGTCAGAAGCAAAACGTAAAGCTTGTGCTTGGATTAGTGGGCCGTTGACAGGAACATGTCTAGCAGTGACATCTATGAACCATTTCCAGGTCAACTCATTAATTTCTTCATTGCCGGTCTTTCTAATTTTCTCTGGCGTTCAGCCGGGTCATTATTTTCATAGTCATTTAAAACTTCAGCTTTTCTTTTAACAAGTCTTTGAATTTGGTCTTCGCTTACACCAAAAGCCTCCCCCACTTTACGGGAACTTTGTACTTTGTCATACATTTCTATAGCCTTTGCCTTGCTTTGACATGGTGACAAATTTGGTTGAAACAACAGAGATCTTTTACAGCACAGTTATTTTAAACAGTAGTAAACAGTCAGAGAAATGATTTAATCTTAAATGTAAGCTTGGCTATTTATATCAGAAAAATAAGATGAAATTACAAAAAAAGAATATATATATATATATATATATATACACCTACCTATTGTAATTAACCTTACTAAGTGTAATTAACCACGCCTACAGCAGTGATTGGCTCTGAAGGCAATTAGTCTTGACAGCGCGAGAAATTTACACTGTCAAGGAATACCAATCAATATTTATGGCGGGAACTGGCGTTTTTTCACAGATGATGAATGGGGTTTGGGGCTAAATTAGCCTGGCGCTTGGCGGCGTTAGACAGGTAGCGTTCTTATAAAGGTTAAATAACATACAAATTGAGTTGGGACTTACGAAAACTGGCGCTCTTAGCCAGGTGGCGCTGTTGTGGAGGTGGAGCGGTTAACAGGTTAGACTGTATATCTTTATATAACTTTGCACAAAAGTTCTGAAACAAAGGAATCCACGTAATGTTTACATTTTTTTAGGTTCTGATATGAAACATCCTAAATTTGGTCGAGGTCAGTGTGTTACATTCTACAGTATGACTCAATTAAAGATGATGTCTACTATTTCATAACACAGTTGCATACCAGTGGGGTACTTCTGTATTCTTATGATCTAGTTTGTTACTGATCAGCCACAGAGAGAATATGTACTAGGAGAGCAGTTTGGCACTTTCAAAGAGATTAACTTATGGTTTGAAAGAGTCAAGTCATTTTGTAATGTGCCATGTTTTCTTTTAAATCTATTATTGTAGGTATATTTGTTTGTTTCTTCTCTTCTGCATTTCTTCCAACACTAAACTTTCATTCAAACAAATCATAAAATCTCTGATTCTATGGAAGTGATTTACTTATATGTTATTATGCCTTTAATTCAGTAATACCAAAGTGTAAAATTACCAAGAATGTTATTGTTGTTGTTTTAGCGTAAAGCTACACAATGGGCTATCTGCGTTCTGCCCATCTTGGAGAATCAAACCCCGGACGTTAGCATTGTATGTCACCAAGAATGTTATTGCTTGTGGCAAGGATGTGGTCTAGTTTCATATGGAATGGTGAGTAATATGATACTTTATATACACTCCTTCAGCACCCATGTTCTAATTGTGAAGAAGAATCTCTCGGACCCTGGGGGAGAGAAGCAGGCAGCTAGTTTGATTTCCCAGTTAGAGACTGGAAGATCCTCTATAGCAGTGGTTCCAAACTGCTTGTTCACATACTGGTGCTGCGGTGGTATTTTCAGTTAAAAAACGATTTTCCAACAAATCTGAGGTAGTTAGACCAGCTAATAAGTTCGCTTTGAAAATAAGGAGAGTAATTTCGAATCTGATAACTGAGTTTACCTTGTGTGTGTTGAAAGACTGAATACATTTAACCAAAATGAACACAATATTACAGACAAAAAGAAAACGTAAGGTACACGATCGAATCTATACTAAATCCCATAGCTTTCACTCTCTCGGTATTGATTGCTGTAGAACTAAAACACGACGATTTTCAAGTCCGATCTTCACCCAACGATCTCTTAGTAGAAATGGACCAAGAAAGCGCACCTGAACTCGACAAGTAAACTCGCTTTCTTTATCCTGTTAACAGCGTCTCCTCGTAAACTTTGTTCTCTCGCAATTTGAATTGGCTGTAACAATCGGATAACGACATGTCGACCTGTAAAACATACTTCAATCGCTAATCCTTTCATTCCGGATGCTATATGCTACTGCACTATCCTCTTGAACAGAGTATACTATACCTATTCTAGAGAACAAAGAAACAAAGCAACCATAACAAGGCAATCTCGACGTCTTTCTGGGTCACTTGTTGTGCCATTACACCACAGGAAATAATTAACTGGAAAACTTTTAAAATTCTATATCATTAAGCAGGTATAAAACATGTGATATGCTTGCATATCATAGAAGTATCAGTATGCCTCAAACTCGAAAAAAACATCTACTGGAAATTTTAGAAGAGCACCATTATATCTATTTTCATTCCGAGCATATTCTGTCTCAACTAATCAGCTATTCTTTCCCCATCCTTTCAGAAAAAATAATTAATTACGATCATGAATGGTTGAAAGTGCAGAGTATTTTTCTTTCTATGTTAATATAGAGCTTGTGTGTTTGTAACAATTTCCACTTAAGTTTATGTACTTGTATATATTTATATATATATTTCATATTTCGGATATAGTACATTACAAGAACCTTTCTTTTTAGACCTAGCATGGCCAGATGGTTAGGGCGCTCGACTCGTAATGTGTGAGGCGTGGGTTCAAATCCCCATCCCACTAAACATGTTCGTCCTTTCAGCCATGGGGGTGTAATTATGTGATCGTCAATCCCACATTCGTTAGTAAAAGAGCAGCCCAAGAGTGGGTCATGATGACTAGCTACCTTACCTCTAGTTTTGTTTGTTTGTTTGTAATTAAGCACAAAGCTACACAATGGGCTATCTGTGCTCTGGCCACCACGAGTATCGAAACCTGAATTCTAGCGCTGTAAGTCCGCCGACATACCGCTGTGCCACTGGGGGGACCTTACCCCTAGTCTATTATTGATAAATTCCAACCAACCCTTTCTTTTCCTGTTTTCCATTTAGGTCTTGTGACAGTCAACCAAAAAATATTATTATATGAAAGTTATTTCATAAAAAAAAATTTGAAGTAATTGGAAGTTTATGTTAATGAATTTCTAAAGTATTTAATTATATTTTATTTACATGTTATTTTTATGGATATTAAATAATATATAATAATATACATATATTTATTTTATTTATAGTATTACGCTGTTTATGGATTTGAAATAACATAAAATTCATTTCTATTTTTGTTCTAATAATTTTACTGGGATGTATTTATTGTATAAACATTTTGATTTAGTTAAAAAAGTATTATGTATTGTATTTAGGATTTAATTAGAGTAATGTAAGCTGCGAAAGCGCTTTCAACCAACTAAAGATATTAAAAAATACAGTATTCCGAACCTGGTGGTCCTTTTAATATTTTATATATATATATTTCCTCAGGATGATAAAGAGCTGACAAAAACGTTTGTCATTAAGCCCATTCCATCTGTCACATCAAAGCCATTACTGGTGTTTTTAAACCCGAAGAGCGGTAGTAACCAAGGCGCCAAACTGATGCAGAAGTTTCAGTGCTTACTAAATCCACGTCAAGTATTTGACCTGACACAAGAAGGACTCTCTCCGGGGTTAGTCGTACTTAGATTTATACACTTTATACAGATTCGAAAACGATAAAAAATAGTTTTCTACAAGACTTTTAGTTTGTAATAAGTTGAAAAACTACTAATATTATTCAAATACGTTATAAAACTGTAAAAGAAAATAATATAACCTAAAGTCATTAGGGAGGGGAAAAAGAGGGACATCGGACAATTATATAATATTTACTTAAATTAAAATAGTACATAATAATATGTATAATTATAAACTAAATTAAATCAAGACACACGGTAGTGTGTCCTGGAGCCTTAACAACCTGCAGGACACACTGTGTGTTATTAACACTAAATAACAGGAGTAATAGTTTAACGATTTTCCACTTTCTGTAACTCGGATTGTTGTAATCCAAACTATCACATACTTTCAGTGGATGTGCTTTACTGGACCCTTACTTCACATACCAAATTTCAAATTTACGCACCATCATACCCCAAGTGGAACAAAAAACGCTGCCTGGCTAACTAATGAATGAATATTTGCTGTAAAATTCTTATCGATACTATAAGTGTAGCTACCAGTTTGGCCGCCAAATTTGATTTCATTCCTTTAAGTCGTATGCTCAATCTTTTTTTTTTTTGTTGTTATTGTTTTTTTTATTGACCGCACCTTTTTTTCACCCCTAAGGTGTTTTTGATTAGATTTTTTATATGCTGTAGGCCTAATATATTGTTGAACTACATATCTCTAAAAAATTACGATGAACCAGCCCTCTATGACCTTACTGAAAACACATACCTTGTGTAGTTTTTATTGATCTGGTAAGGTTTTAATGTATTATTTTCATGCTATAAGAATACGAACTGACATTCGACCTTTGCACGTGAATATCAACTTATTAAACCGTTTCTTCATAATATACAAAAATATTCTATCCATCTGTAGTTTTATTCTCTATATAATAAATAATTTTAAGAAAAGTTGAAAATTCCATACAAAGAAGCATCTGAAGCACAAACTGCATAAAATATTTTTTGGCAGTTTTTTGTGACAATGTTCCTGTATTATTAGGTAATGTTCTTGGCAGACAACCCATACTATACAAAAATATCCCATCCACCTGTAGTTTTGTTTTTTATATAATAAATAATTATAAGAATAGTTGAAAATTCCGTACAAATATACTTGCACAGATTGATAGAATATGTTTTGACGTTATACTTTTATAATGTGGCAGTGTCCTGCTGAACAAGTCTTATGTGTATCATGTTTACCAAGTTGTAAGTTTCATCTATTATAAATATTTATCATACCAATTATTACATTTTTTGTTTTGCTTTTGTCATTTCTTGGAAAAATGCATTTTCTCAAACTCTTTACAAGATAACCTTGACCTTTAACACTTTACACTAAAGTTCATAAAAAAATGTTAATATAAATGTTGTAAACAATTCTTTGTGTTTCAGCTTAGAGCTATACAAAAAGGTTCCTAATCTGAGAGTGTTGGCCTGTGGGGGTGATGGCACAGTTGGTTGGGTGTTGTCCATACTAGATGAAATTGGCATCTCTCCTCCTGTGTCTGTACTTCCCTTAGGGACAGGAAATGACTTAGCAAGATCTTTAGGGTGGGGTGGGGTAAGTTTGACTTGTAAAATGAACCCATTTTGTTTAATATGCCTCATGGTGTAATCCTAGGAATGTTTTGCATTAAAAACGTACTTCTGAACATATCACTGTATAGTCATTATGAAAAGAAAAACTTAGATTTCACAGATATGTTCTTAATATTATTACTGATAAGGTACACTATAAATTAATTTACATTTTTGAACAAGAAAATGGAGGTTTTCCAAAAATATTTCAATATGATTTGACTCCCACCACAATGTTTTCATCACAGTGTCTATTCTATTATTTGGATGTTTAGAGATAATGTAGATTAAAGGACTTTAATAGTTATAGTAACTGAAGTTTTAATTTGGTCATTCAAGTCAGAAAACTTTGTGTATTACCAATTGTCATTACTTACTGATCTCCTTCAAATTTGAATATGTGTGTTATTAAATGCCTTTCAGAACACTGAATTCATAAGTGTATGAAAAATCCTTTAAATACCTATTTGGCTGAATTCTCTTCTTTGTTACAGGAAAAATGCTACCGTCCATGCCACTCTAATAACAATTGATTTTTACAATATTTATGAATTTGTTCAAGTTTTAACTTGCTACCATATTCCTTTAAGTGGTTTTAAACTACTGGTTTTTCTCTCTTTCTCTCTCTCTCTCTCTCTCTATGTATGCATGAATAGAGAGATAAACTTAAATTGATGCTGAATTTTATGCTAGTTTTGTAATTTATGTCTGATTGTCTGCCTAATTAATACAGGGCTATACAGATGAACCTATATCCAAGATCCTTTCCAACATCCAGGATGGAGATGTTATTCAGTTAGACAGGTGAGTATGCTGTACCTAAACACAGAACAGAAGCCAACTTAATTACTCGTGTATGCTCCACAAACAAAATGTCTATGTTTACCACTTATTGTACTGTATAAAATTATCTCAAAATTTCTTTCTTTAATAAGGTTAATATCTTGAATCTAATATGACATGTATACCTTCTTCATTCAGAAAGAGTTAAAAAAAAGTACTTAAAGTTGTTTCTTTTAACTTAAGAAGTGAAGAATTTAATTGACAAACATTGGAGCCAATATAAAGTCAAGTTGATGACAATATTGAATGTTACTATCTTGTCAAACTGATGATAAACTTAATATCAGGAGCAGAAGAATCATCATCAGTTCTTATAAAGTGTAGAGATGGCTAGAATAGGTAACAAATGAAACTTTATTGCAAGTTAAAACAGTAACAAATGTAAAACGTTTTGACAAGGTTTTGTCATCAAAGAATAACCTAAAATACCTTCAGTTCTCATTGTTCATAAATCTAACATAGAACTATCACCAGACCCAAATCCCACTTTTTCTTATTAACAGAAAAAGTGCATTTTGAAGGAAATTATAATAATTATTAAGCCCAATATAATCTTGGATTAACAAATTACTGGTTTCAAGTAATTCCACTCATCATCAGTAACCCTAATGTATTTAGTTTTGTTTACAGGAAGTAAAACGCAGTACTCTGTTTATGTTATAGGTGGGATCTTCTTGTAGATAAAAACATAGATGTGGACCTTTCTACTTGTGAAGAAGGCAAAGAAAAACTTCCTTTAAATGTAGTTAATAATTACTTTTCCCTTGGAGTAGATGCTCACATAGCTCTTGAGTTCCATGAAGCTAGGGGTGAGTATAATCATAAAGCTGGTATTGGTGTAATTTTCATTTACCAACTTAACTGTTAAGTTACAAGTTACATTTCTTTAAAGGTTTGGAGAATAAGAAAAAAATTTCCTTCTTAAATCATGAAGTTTCGTTTTTGTAAATACCACAGTCTATCATATTTTCAAGATGGTTAACATTATTTCTATTACATAGTACTATAACATTGGCCATAATTATAACTTAGGGTGGAGTGGAGTAAGTTTGATTCTGTGAAATGGATCCATAATATTATAAACTAATACCATAACTTTGATACAGTCTTTTATGGAGTAGAAAATATAATGATTTTTGTTTTGTTAGAGGCTCATCCAGAAAAGTTCAACAGTCGTCTAAGGAACAAAATGTTCTATGGTCAGGCTGGAGGAAAGGATTTACTACAAAGAAAATGGAAAGACCTCTGCAATTTTGTTACTCTGGAGGTAGTTATAGTAGAAAATATGCTGCCTTGTTAATTTTTACCAAAAATGTGTAAAATAGTTTTCTTTACAAATCACAAATATACAAGTACTTTTATTTGATTGTAAAATGATATGTTGTTAAGGATCATGACTTGCTGGTACCTTGGAGATTAAAATTTGTTTTAAAATACTTTTCAACTGAATATCCTTAAAAAATATTAATGATGCATTATATATATATATATATACCAAAATATTATTGTATAATATCATCATACATTGGGTTGATATATTGTCTACAGTATAATTTGTTTATCTTTAGTTAATCTGATTTAGCAGTTAATCACTATTCATAAATAACCTCAGAAACATTTTTGATTTGTTTCTTATTTTGTTTGGGTGAATACTGTGTGCTCATTTTTTGCCACTCTTTTTAAGTAAAGAATGTTTCACCTACACCAGATGTAAAAACGATTTTTCTTTATAACTTTTTAATATGAAATACTTTTAAAACTTATGTATTAAGAAACATTTCTTAACAATATTTTTTTTCAGGCTCATTTTGTTTCTATTTACTCCCTTTAGTGTGATGGACAAGATTTGACACCCAGGTTAAAAGAACTACGTATTCATGCTATTCTGTTTTTAAATATTCCCAGGTAAATTTACTGCCTCTGATGTTTCCTCTGTATTATTTAACTAGTTGGTAACTCCATGTGGTAATTGTTTTGAATCAGTAGTTTTAAAAACACAACACAAGAATAGTATTTTTACTCATTTATTCAACCACGAAATCATATATAGCATAAATTTTTTATTCATTTTAAAAGCAGTCTGCCTTTATCATTAATAAGTGAAGTATATGAGACTTAAGTAGTTGGCTTAAAAGTAATTATGTTAAAAATATTGAAATTTTCTTCTATATTGAAACAGTTATGGTGGTGGAACAAGGCCTTGGGCAATCCCAGGACCAGGTTTTGATCAACAGAGAACGGATGATGGAATTATAGAAGTGATTGGCTTGACCACGTATCAATTGGTAAAATCATTGGTTTTATTGAACACAATGATTGAATTTTATTTTCCTACATGTAAACATGTGAAAGTAGAAAATTATAATTTCATAACTTACCAGAATGAATAAAATCTATAGATTAAGGTATATGCAGCCTACCAATAACTAAACAGAAACCCCCTGAGAATACAAATCAACCATTTCCATAACCTAATATGCAAGTAACCCCGTCACATCATGAAGAAAAGGATCCAAAGAATTAACTGTATTTTCCTGAGGTTGCATAGTTGCATGATAGGAATATTGTCATAGTGAGTGACTAATATCCAGGTCAATCACAGTACCACTGTTTACAGTTAATAGGGTGATAGTGCAGTACCAATTACATCAGAAAACGATAGGTTACTGCAAAGCTTGGGTACCCAAAACCAACAGAATAGATTCATCATGCTGAGAGAGAAGTTTGAAGAATGGATATCATTGTTTCAGGACAGTGTAAGTGTGCCTCAATACCTTCTGAATTTATCTTCAAAGCATGAGCTACATAATAGCATGGTAGCTAGACGAAAGTCACTCCTCACTCCAGACAGTACTATCCATTAACAACAGTGGGCACACCCTCCTTTATTTAGGGAAACTGTTATTTTTTCTGTGAGTTTATATTTATATCTTTCTCAATCATTGGTTGCATCTGGATTTTGTGGCTATCCTTCCATGCACTTTTGTTTTAACCATCTGTAAGCCATGACAAAATATGACTGTTTCTGTTATGGTTTGGGTGAATTTTGGGCAGTTGCACATTATGGTTGATGGTATGCAAAGTGTCAGACACTGATGATCATTACATCGAAGGCTCTCAAGCAAAACCTTCTACCTATCTGTGCCAGTGACCAGCTTACAAAACAAAGCAGTGTTTCAGGCAAAATGGAGATCCTGCTCATTGATTCTAAAACAAAATGATTACATTAAGATCAGACCATTATCAATCACCTGTGGCCAGGCCATTTGTTGGATATTAACCCTACTGAGCATGTGTGGTCCATCCTAGCTTGCTTGCTCCCTGTAAGAGCATCCTAAACAACCAACTTCTAGAGACACGCTCATCAAAGTTCTTTGCCAGGAATGGGATACAATACCACGAACCCAGATTTCAGATCTTGTAAATATGATCTGAAACCATTTTTGTACCTTGAGTATTGCAAAGGACAGATCCATGAGCAGATCCAACTTTCATGCCATTTTTTAATTTTAAGAACAGTGCTCATATTTAAAATTTGTAGTTTGTGCAACCATCTTCATTTAACAGTTTCCCAATTTGTTCCTACAAGGCTCAAAATCTCCACCATTTCATGACACTCTGCCTCATTGGTAAGTTTGCAATCGCAAGCCTGATTCAACAGACTGTTTGTTTGTAGTTAAGCACAAAGCTACAGAATGGGCTATCTGTGCTCTACCCACCAAGGGTATCGAAACCTGGTTTCTGGCATTGTATTCAACAGACTGTAGAAGGTGGAAGAATTGAGGGGACATGATTTTACATCCTCCAGGTAGTATGTAAAAGTTTTTTAAAAACCACTGTAAATTATATGTGTGAACATTTGACAAATTATTTTACTCTTGCTAAGTTTAAACAACAAAATAATTTGATGCTTTAAAAATTACTCAGCTGGATCAAATGAAGACCACATCAGCACTGTCCTCCACAATATGTAAAAAAAGCAACTCGAAAGTTAGCTGTTCTATCTTATCACTGAAAAGAACATTTACAATCAAGAAGTGGAAAGAGTTTGGGGAATGAGGAATAACCTCTAGTGTTAAATTTATGACAACATGTAAACTATTAGTTTCTTCTTGACATATCCTGCTTACACAAATAGGTTATTATTCAGTTTCTTCTTTATTCCATTATTTCTGCATGATTTAAGGCCCACAGACAAGCTTCAGGTAGCATTCAGTTCATTTTATAATACCTCATTTATAAAGTAAAAGTCTGAATGCAAGTAAACTCTCAAAACTCATCAAAAAATCAGCTGATGTTTGTATGACATAAATGTTTGTTGCCTACAGCCAGCCATAGAACTTATTATCAATATATTGGCCTGAATATAGGGCAGTTTTAAATCTAAAACAACCTTACTTTTCAGAGACAATGAATTTAAAAAAATTAACTGTATGTACGCTAGAGCAAAGTGGCCTGTTTTTCTTGTTTTGTAATTTTGGTATAACATGATTTATAAAAAATATAGGAAATAATCACATAAAATGCTCCCATAATAAACTATTTTTTATTTTTTTATTTGACAAAAAAACAACAACACCACTTAAAGTTGTTCCCCCTTACTTAAATCTGAAATGGTGCCCCTGGGCAGCTCCGATAAATACTAACAGCAACCTAATACCCTTCATTTTATGTTTGTTTATTTAGTAAAGTGGTATTCTTCCTGGGATGTTTGTATATTTAATTATTAGTAGATTATATATTAAAGATCAGTGATGGATTCAGGAAGCCAAAAGTCACAATTGTACTATTTGCATAATATTAAACAAAAGTTATCTAATCTAAAACTTTTTTTATCTTTAGGATTTGAATCCCCCTCTATTTCCATTTTTCAAATTTTAACATTATCTAATTAGTATTTGAATGTTTATTGCTCTAATTTACTATTATAATCATTGTTTTAACTTGAAAGCACATATCAACAATACTCTCAAATTAATGTTTAGACATGAATATTTCTCATTCAACATAATACAATTGAAAGTAACTTATGATGAAATATTTTTTAGCCCTTGCTACAAGCAGGTGGTCATGGTACATGCCTTGCTCAGTGTCAGACAGCAAGAATGGTCACCAACCGTACCATTCCTGTACAAGTGGATGGAGAACCATGCAAGCTTTTGCCATCAATTATCAATCTTCATCATCGCAATAAGGCAAACATGGTTGCTCGAGCTAGAGTGAGAAATTACAACATCTTATTAATCTAGAACATAAGTATTTTCAGTTTCATCGCTATTTTTTTAATCTTTAATGCTAAAGATATATAATCCTGAATACAAATGTTTCTGTAAATTTCCAGTAATAATGTTCAATATTGGGTAGTAAAATAGTGAACCTGACCTTTACCTAATAAAATAAAGGTTTTAATACTCCAAGTTTATGGTTATTTTACCATAAATCTTTGTTAAAATCTATCCTGAATCTTGAGTTGTTCTACAATATTGATTTAATTTTAGCTAGATTGTCTAGATATTTTATAAAAAAATTCTAGTGTTTGTGTGTGACTGACTTTTCTAATTAAATGAATCACATTACTGTTCAACTAACATACACTATACATAAATATAGAATAAATATAAAGTCATTGTTATTCAAACTATCTTCTAATGGTTTGTGCAAACAAAGATGGTTTGAAGAAAAAATTTCATGTTTAGATAAAGTACTACACCTCATACCACTACATGTATTTAACTAAGTAATTTTACTAATATGTGTTATTAGTTAATGTTATACATTTGACTTAAATGTTAATGTTGTTGGTTTTTAAAATGCATTATTGTTTTTTTTTTATGATGTATATCTTATCCAAATTTCAGTTGTTTATCATAACCTTTATTAGGCTCAGCAGTTGTGGCAGATAAGAACAAGACTGTCTTTAATTGAGAAAAAATATCAATAATGTAAATAATATGTAACAGAACATATGTTTGAGTACATTTTTTTAAATTTCTTTGCAGGTCGCAATGCAATAAATGTTTTTATATTTTTGCTTCTCTTTAAGCCATCTGTAATTTTTTTATGAATAAAATAATTTCAAGATGACAAAATATTCAATGTTTCATCATCTTTTAATAACAGTGAGAAATTTTTTATGAATAAAATAATTTCAAGATGACATAATATTCAATGTTTCATCATCTTTTAATAACAGTGAGAAATTATTTGTATAGAAGATGTTGTGAACAATTATTTACTGTATACGTTTATTTTTCAGAGACAAGGTTTTGTGCAATCCATGTAAGTGTAATTATTTTATGTTTCAATTAATATTCATTATGATTTTCAAGCAATTTGGCTAAAGGATAAAAGTTTAAGGTAAAAATGACCAACAATAAGCCAGTTGGTTGCTATGACAGTAATGCTGATAATGAATCTAACAAGTAACCTGCATTGTGTAGTGTGTATTGATATAAAATAATAATAATACATCTCAATCTGCTTGTAAATAATTGTACTTAATTAATAAAATGTTTCTTTTTTTTATTAATTATGTAAGCTAAAATTAGTATAGTTGTAAAAACAGTGAATTTTAGTGCTGTATGCTAACAGAATAGGAGTTAATGCTATTAGAATAGCCTCTACAACATTTGTATAAGGCTGTTGTTAATATTTTTTCTTTGAATTCTGTTCAAATTATAAACGTAATTATTTTTCTAGTTTTAATACATTATTCACAAAGAAGTAAATACATAGTCTAAAATAGGAATATGCAAAATAATTAGTTGATAATAATACCCTTATAAGTTAATTGCTGTTTCCAAAAAAACTGTCTTTGTAATTAAGTGTTCTTTTTTTAATATAGCTACATAAATGTATTTTGCTTTTTTTCTAAAAAACACTAACTACACATAGAACTGTTTACAGTGGCGTAGGCAAGTTTCTCACTATTTCAGAAAATTGGGGGGGGCAATAATTTAAAAAGCTGAAAGTGACCTAAATTTTTAATAAAATGGTCAATAAAACAAATCAAGTGTAAGTTTTTATAAGAGTTTCATTTTTTTATTAAATGATACAAAACGAGTTTATTTTATATAATAGCTGAAAAATGATATGCTTAGATTTATTCGGGGGTGGGGCATTGGACCCCCCCTTGGGTACACCTTTGACTGTTTAGTTTATTTCCTGATATGTAACTTTTATTGATTGTTTCCATGTAGGCCAACTCTAGAAAAGTTAACCATAGAAGTCAAAAGGCTGAATATGATTGACTATGAAACCTATCATTATGATAAAGAGAAGTTACGAGATGTATGTAAGTAATGCAGGTTTCAGTATTGGCTATTTACAGTGTCTGTTGATTTTCTTGTTTGTAGCAATAAAATGAGTGAGGATCGTTTTGTTATTGGCTGAAAGATATGACACGTATAAAGCTGAAATATACACTATAGGGTGACTTGAAAAATTACCAGTAATTTTACTTTTGTAACCTTGTTTTAATCTGTTACTTTTCAGACTATGATATCATTTACACGAAATAATTATGACACATATAAAGCTGAAATATACACTATGGGGTGACTTGAAAAATTAACAGTAATTTTACTTTTGTAACCTTGTCTTACATATGTATTTAAATCTACGTACAAGTCAGGTATAATCTCTGGGAAATCATACCATGTTTTAGTCAGCATACAGCAATGTGCACTTGACAACAATAAATCTTTGTTCTTCCATACCTTGATCTGATTTGCAATTATTGGTCACTGTTGATATGTTCCATTAACAAAACAACATTGTTTAGTAAAGGCATCTCAGACTCACAATAAGCCCGTTATTATTATCTCTAACTGAATGGACACATGTAGTATAATCGTAGTCTGCTGAAGTGAATGCTCATCTTTGTTTTTGTGCAGTGGAAGGTATATCTTTGATTTCGTGGAATATGATAATGAAATGTTTATGATCTGATGCTAAAGTAAAATTAAGACCATAAAAGTACTGTCAAAACTTGCAATCCAAGCTAAACCTTCCTTCTCAACCAATTACAAAGTGCATGAAGCATACAATATTGTGTTCTCAACACCATCCATTTGATATGCTAAACTGCAGATATGCCTTAGCATAACATGAGTTTTTTATCAGAATCATAATGGACCGATAATTGTGAAAAACACAACATACAATCACTTGTGTGAAAAGTTAATGTTCAACCATTCCCACTTAACATTTTTACACAATAGCATATTCAGTAGCTCAGTGACAGTAATTATGTAATGTAATAACATATAATAATGCTTCAATAGTCCTAGGAGTAAACTTAACTTGGTAATGTTAGTCAGTGAGGAGCATTTATTACTACTTATGCCTTAGTTGGATTGATACCTCCAATTGTGACTTTCTTGCCCAAGAATACAGCCTATGGTGTGTAAAATGCACATTTCCCCTTTCTCAGATAGAGTCTGTATGCTACTAATACCATATTTGCCAGTATATAAGACAATACTTTTTACTCTTAAAACAATGCCCGATTTTACCCCTCAACTTATACACAGGTTCAGAGATAGAGTTCCAGTAAGACCTCTCAGGTTAATAGCATATCTAACCAAAACTACTTTGTTCTTTTTACTTTTGTTTGCATTTTTGAGTAAGTGCATTGACATTGTGCCACCTACTACATTACAATAACATATTTGTAATTGTATCATTTGTCTCGATTCTTCATAACTAGAAGTTATTTATCTCACATGCTAGTTACAACTAATCAAGACATTTTCTATTTGAAATGTCTTGATTTCAACCATCATACTAAAATATTGCTAATATTATATAAAAAAGTTAGTTTCTGTAACATACTCTAATTCTGTCAACATGTTTTTACTGTAGATCACTATATCTCAAGATTTAGTATTTTTTGTAATAGAAAAAGAGTTCAACTGTGATGAAAACTTTGTAAGGTTGTTTATTACATGTTTTTGGTTTAGGTTATGCTACATTAAGCTGTCTATAGCATTTGAAGAGCATAAAAAAACTATGCTTGTTGATTACCCCAGAACACAGTTAGCACAATTTAAAAATAGCGTATAAGAATTTCTTTACAAAAGTAACATTCTAGAATTGCTTGACAGTAGAGGTTGTCCTGTACACTGAACCTCAAAGGAATACACTTAAGTTGCTCAAAAATCCAGGGTCGTCTTATACATTGGCAAATACAGTAATTACCAAACCACCTCCTCCAAGTTGGACAAGTGTTCCTCCTTGATGAGAATACTGTGTGAGGAATTCCTTTCAACAGATTTTTATTCTGCTGCTGCTGCTGAAATATACTAAGTGCAGATTTTATTCTGTATGAGAACTGATTACACACAAACAAGTAGTGTTTATGTGCATTAATTAATTGTAGTGTATTTCTTAGTCTTCACCTGGTTCCATTTGTTGGTAGGCATTTGAAATGTCTAGCTTTTTTAAATTATCAGGACCTGCTAAACACTCAAACAATGTCTATTCTGAAAGTATTGGGTAGATATAGAGAGAGAGAACACCTTGTTCACAGCCATCTTATGCTCTCTGCAGGACTTGACACTTTCACCATCACAATCTAGCACTGGTACAATGAAACAGGCCCATTCACTAAATTGTAACGAATTATTTGCACTGTACTTTTGGTCATATTTCACGGCCATCTCAATTTTTTCTATCAACATATATAGGACAGATCATACCATGTAAAACAAAGGAGTAGCATCCTTTTCAACATAGATTCTCATTTTGGGGAATTTTAAATACCCATACATTCCTTGCTTAGTTCAGGGTATTTCGCAGTCATGTTCTGATAGAATTTTAAAATTCACTTAACTTCATACAAGTTAATTCTAATTTGTTGAAGCTATTTTCTTCCAAATGGAGTTGTCTCTGAGCCTGCAACAAATAATAACGACGGTAGCTTCATTGTATCACCATATGACACACATTAGCATTGGTCTGCCCTCCTATAGTTACACTCATCAGTACAAATATGTAACTTAGTTTCAGCAGCAACAAACTGTGCCTTGAATTATTGATCCCAAAGGTTGTTGAATGTTGATTCACTCATAATTGAAAGACTAGCACCTTTGTCCGACTCCATTCCATTCAACAAGACATTGACAAGAATAGGTGCTATTCCATAGTTCATTTTATACAATGTGTAAGCTCTATGTCCTGTCCCTCATTATCAGATAGAGCATCAGAAGACAACACATGTAGTCTGCTTCACAACTATTTGCTTTTTGACACAGCAAACTTTACATAAATTACCTTTCTTACCACATTTGTGTCACACAGAACCTTTTAACCTGTAGTCGGGTGCCTTGTGAGATCCACCACAAGTAAAATAGACAGTATGAGTATTCTTACTTACTTTTGCTTTTGATACTTGCAGTATTGACATTTTGTTCATTGATGGTCATGTACGGCATGTCAATTCCTGTCAATTAATATCTGCTATCTGAATTGACTGAGCAAGGACAACTGCTTTCTTATAGTCTAATTTATCTTCAGCAAGCATTTGGCACTGAATTCCATCATCATTAATACCAAATGACTAACCTGTTACACAACATGTCTTCTAACATAGCATAGTTCTGCAAGTCTGCCATTTAGCTAGACACTGACTGTTCCACCTCATGTACACATGTCTAAGACTTGTACATGCTCATTATTATGCTAGCCTTAAGCCTCTGGTTCTTTTTTCACCAATTCAATTAATTCTTTACATGTTTTGTCAATAACTTTTTGTGATACCAACAACTTTTTTCAGTAGTATGACGCACTCTTTCCTGCTGTCTTCAACATCATTTACTATGAAGTACTGATCTAATCTGCCTCCTAAATCCAACCAGTTCTCCCCCTCTTAAAATTCCTGTAGTACTCCAAAATAAACCACAGTCATTTATTAACTGAAAATTATATATTTGAATGCAATATCTGATCACCAGTTTTAGTAATTCCAGAGAGAAAGATAGACACAACACTTGAAGATAGAACGTGTCTAAAATTACATTTTATTCAGAATAAGGCTAGATATTTAAGGTACACATACACTGCAGAACACGGAGCCCTCTCATAGTCCATGCTAGGACTATTAATAATGTATATTATAGCAATAAACACAGTATAGCACACAATAAAAAGATGACTATGCACAGTTATCGTATTATAACTTTCCCTAGAAGGAGTTTACTCCCTGGGTGATGTAAAATTGTTTGAAAGTTAAAAATCATAATAATTATTCTTTAAATATTCACTTAATAATTATAATACCTGGAGCAGTACATAATATATTGCCCCCAGTGCCTGAGCTTACAATGTTAAAATTCATGGGCTTAATTACTGTGGTGGGCGTAGCACAGATAGCTCATTGTGAAGTTTGTGATTTGCATTAAAGAACATAACATATTCTATCAAGTTTTATTAATGAAGATGATTGCATTAAGTGATTCCAATTTAGACAGACAGATAAACAACATATTACACTAAGCTTGAAAACATTAAATTAGGATGTAATTTTTGTACCTATGTGATTAAAAGTCTAGCTAAAAATGGCTAGAGACTGTTTTGATTGAAAAAATATATCATGTAAAGTAGTAACACTTAGATTCATGTTCTGTGTATTTATAAAGAGAAATAGTGTATTGAATTAATTAGCTTACAAGATGCCTGAAAAGGTATTTATAGATAATAAGCACACAAAACCTTTATAGCCATGAAGATTTTGTCTATTGATATTAGCAATGTCACTTGGATCTATATGTGTGGATCTTGACAGCGATCTGGAACAGCTACGTACTCATGTTAATCACCTTCTAGAGGTAAGAGAGAAATTACTTGGGTTATTTTCCTATATTTAAACACAGTGGTTGACTGTATCATAAAGTAATCAGAGACAAAATCATATCTTACTGTATACATATTTACTATATTAATGTAGTATTAGCATTTTCAAAAAGAATATCTTTACATTATTACATTTGTGTACCTTAACATTTTCAGCTGAATTCATGTATTCATAGCCAACTTGAATGTTAAAATGCAAATAATTAATAATGTTGTCAGCAGTGTATACAAGTGAAAATATTAGAAAGAAGTACCTAAATTGAGTGCTTAGGGTATTTTATGATGATTTTTTAAATCTATATATGTATAGTGGTTCAATTGCATATAATGTAATTGCAACCACAAGCGTTGTCTCACATGTAGGAGCTTTACATTAAAAGTCATACCAGGTAATGCAGTTTAAAGTTATTTCCTATTGTTATGTTTACACTTAGGTATTTTAAGTTATATTGAAACAAACTTAAAACAGTAATTGTTTTAGGGAGTGATATAATAAATTATTAGTTATGTTTCTGAATATAAGATAGTAACAGTAACAAATTCAGGTTCTCACTTTCATAACTTTTATTCTGAAAAACCTTATTTTTTAATGCCAAAAAGGTATATAAAAATGTTCATTAAAAGACATGCACATAACAAATGCACTTTAATATAATTATTACATTTTCCTTTTCCTCTTAACCTAGCTTGATGTACATTAACTTTTTAATTCAACCAAAACACTGTCCTGCTTAATTTCAACACATCACGTGTTGAGTCTCTTTGGAGGATTCAGGGTCTTCATAGATCTGTGTAAGGATGGAACAGGTTCGGGCTAACTGTAAAGGCTGTTTAATAGTATGTCAAGTAACTCAGTTATTGTAGTTGTTTGAATATCAAGCTGAGCCTCTTGAGGAGCAAAAGCAGGGAATGATATTAACAATGCAACAGAGGTGATGTCTCATATAGATAACTCTTGTGCAGAAATCTCAGACTTTGCCATTGGTAGTTTGTACTGAACACTGTTAATGTGTTGAACAGAACCTCCTACACAAATGAGGAAGGCTACTTGACCAATGCATTGAAGAACATCAACAGGTAACTAATTTCTTCAAATTCTTTTGCTCTAACTTTGGCTCATCTAAATGCACAAGATGAAAGACTTGACTCTCTTCAGATGATTCAGTCTAGAATCATTGACTGTTTTTGTAGTGTAGCAGTAGCTAGTGTTGAAATACCAGCAGTTTTCTCTCAAAAGTTAATGACTAGTGGCTTATGATCAGACAGAAAAGTAAAATGTTAGCATATAAATACTAGTTGAATTTTTTCACTCCATTTGTGATGCTCAAAGCCTCCTTCATTAACTGTGCTCTTTTTTTTCTCTGTATCCATAACTATTCTTGATGCGTGCGATTGGTCACTTAGATCCATCAGGCACAATGTGAGACCTAACAGTACCTAGCCCAACTAGCATCAGTATCCACTCTGATCAATGCAAGTAGCTGCTTGACTTCATTGAAGTCACTATCAAATTCATCACTCCAAACCCACTTAACATGGTCTTGAGTATGTTGTTCAAAAGATGAATCCTGGTAGACAAGTTTGTTTTCTTTTTCTAAGAGCTCACATTTCATCTTGCTGAGATAAACAGCATTCTCTTCAAGTCTCTGTTGAACCTTGTTGATTTTCTCCATGTGTTCTTTGTTGTCTCGACCAGTCAACTCAACATTGTCCGAATTGAACACAATCTTTATCAGTGTCTTTTGGTATTTCTACAGCAACTTTCTAGAAGGTTAAAGGTGCTTATGCAATTTCAAATGAAAGTCAAGCACTAATATTTTGAACAGTTGATAGTGAATACTGCTCACCATATAACTCTGTGCTTATTGTGGTTTTGTAGTCTTCACAAATATGCATTGATCTCTCTACTCTTGGTCCAATGACAATTGGGATTGTCCAATCACTATAGCATATTCTTGATATGATGCCTTGCTTTTCCAGTCTTTTCAGTTGATCTTCGCCTTTGCCTCTAAACACATATGGAACTAGATTCTTGGCATGAAGAATTTTAGTGTTCAGCCTGGTTTCATTTTTAAGTGAGCTTTAATGTTTTTTTAATGTGTCTAGACATATTCTTTGAACACTGATGCGTATTTCTGTGATACTTAATATATAACTGAAGGTATTCTGAATAAATATTTCTAGTCTAAAGTGATGTGATATATGCAGTTTCTTCCAAGAATTGGTGGTTGATTCACTTCTGTGGCCAAAAATAGAAGTTCTTTCTTTTGACTATAGGCGACTAAGACATTTATCCTTCATTTTATGGGAATGACATCACTTGAATAAGATTTCAGGATGTGATGAAATGACTTAAGAATCAATACTTCTGTCTTTCAAGCATTTCTGAAATCATGTTAACTGCAGAATCTGTGTTAACCTCCATCTTAATAACATCATCATTAATGTCAATTTCGATTTCTATAGCAACATTGTCTTTACTCATTATTTGGAACACAGTAATGACATGTTTTCATCCTTTTCAATTTCCATCTTGATTGATCTCAGTTATTCTGTAGATTGTTTAATTTTTGATCTACAGACTGCTGCCATATGTTCTGTTTTGTGAAAGTTGTTCATTTGTGGCTCTTGTACTTGCATGTAATAGTAGTGTATGAGATCCCATATCACAAGTAATTGTTGAGACAAAATGTACCATTATCTTGGACCAGTACTTTTCTGCTCATCGGCCCAAAATTGGCTAAATGACCATAGCCAACATGTTTCCAATAATATTCCAACTTTAATATTAATTACCCAAGTAACAGACCAAGGTTTGTTCAATGTTTGTCCAATCTAAGCATCCACATTTTTAGCTGTTGGCCCAATGTTGAATCAACATATGATTGTTTTTGTTGGATATTGTACAGTTTGCTAAACATTCATGGAATACTTCTATATGATAACATGTAGATAGCGTGTTACCCAGTGCTTTTTTGTATGTGTTTGTTGAATTTTTCAATGAGCTATTCTGGTCAGATTGAATTATGGAATTGGATTGTACATCTTATAATGGATACATGGTCTCAGAGTGTGGGGAATATTTTGTGGTATCATGTGAATTCAAACCTGGTTCATCAGCTCTAAAATCCAGAGTACTACTACAGCTAGGGCCAAGCCATACCTGCCACGAATATCTTTAGTTTAGGATAAGAAATTTTACACATACATTATCAGTTTGAAATAGTACAAATCCATTAATTTAAAAACTAGCATATTAATACTCTTCAACATAATTATTACAATTATATTTGGAAGTTAGAAAATACCTATCTTTTAAAGGTTATAGTTTAACAGTTTATTTTCTTTTGGTAGAGGTATGAATCCTGTAGTAAGAGAATACAATATATTCATCAAACTTTAAAATTTTCAGCATACCTGTTTAAAACATAGCATTTTTGTATAAGGAATATGTGCTATTTAGGTATATTGATGTCTGACAGAAAAGTCTAAGACATCTGCAATGGCATAGGAATTGGGGGGGGGGGGGCTTTTCAATCTGTCCCTATAATAATGCATCAAAATTAGGAAAATTACTCTTAAAAAAAAGCAGGAGAATGCATAAAATAAATATAATTCTGAACTCAAAAGTTTCTAAAGCCCTAAGGCGAGCCCTGAATTGTAATGGATGCACCTGTGGGATTACATTTCCTTGCTGCACATGGTCAGATAAACCTTGAGCCCCCCACTTTTAATTTTCTTCCCACTTTTCTCTGTAATCTCAAAATGCAGATTCAAGACTGTTAAGCAAAGGAAAAATTTAAGGTGGACATAAAAGAAAAAATAAGCTAACACAAGTTAAAACAAACACAAAACAATGTGTATGTGTAATTAACTTACTGGTTGGCTTCCAATCTGTTTGATCTCTGTCTGACTTCTGGAGTTTGAGGGCAGGAACACAAAAGCTGGAAAAAACAGAATAAAAAGACCAGAACAACAGCCAAAACTAATAGAGAGAATTATGGAAATTCTCTGCTCTTATGCTCAGACCAAAGCCTTAGTGTGATATCTTATATGTCATTAGGCTCCATCTGTAACCAACAGTCTACATACATAAGGCATCCAACACCAGTGTGTACAGGTTTAATTCTGTTTCACCTGTTTGAATATAGGCTATTTTCTCAAAAATTATACAGAAACATGTACAAACTAGCTTAAGTCTTAATAAAAAAAGTGTACAGCAGCATATGACCTTTAACTTTGTAAAAGAATTAGCTCGCGTTTACAATCTTGCAACATTTGATCAACACAAATGTGATTAATTATGTATAGAAACTGCATGAAAATTTAGAAACACTACCTGAATATATCCAAATAAAGTTAAATTTTATGCTAATTATAGAAGGGTGAAATAAGAAGCTATTTCTGCTGTGAAAAACACACTATAACATGATAGCTAGACACAAGTACAGAGTATGAAAACAAGCACCAAAATTTTTTGAACAGAGAAATATGTTCAAACAGCTTTTTTCAAAATTAAAAGATAACTTAGCATAATCAACTAGAACTCATATATATATATATATATATATATAAAAGCAAATTACAAACTTAAGGTATTTTCTTCAAAATATGTGTTCTTGTGTCTGTATTACCTATCACAAAGCACACAATATGAATTTTGAACTAATAAACTTGGTTGTTCTAAATTTTACTTATTTATGTTGCTCATTTCATTACACTACATTACTTTCACTTTCATATTCTGTAAGAAATACACCTCAATTACAGGCTTTATACTCTAGTTTGATTTTTAAATTTTATCTTCAAAAAACAGGACAAATTCAATGCCTCAGTGCCTGCTCAGCTTCCCTCTCAAGACTGGTGCTTTCTTGATTGTAAGTAACTGCATCTTTTAGAGCATTATCTGTACTGTACGCATTTTAAGTATATACTTGTCAATTTTTCATGTTGCGTTGACAAAACAGGTGTGTTAATGTGGTTATCTATCTGATCATTATTTCAGAAGTTCATTTCTGATAATAATACATAAAATCATATGACAAACTCTGTAAATAAGACTTGCCATGAATGTTACACAAGTTATGAATTTTACATTATTCTACAAGTTTTGGAAGAAATTATGCATCTTACTATTTTAGCTGTGCAAGATGAGCTGTAAGTTAACATGAAATACTTGATTTTGGTAATTTGAATAAGATTCAGTTATCAAGTTTTTCTTACTTAGCTTGTACCGCTGAAAGATTCTTTCGGATTGACCGTGCTCAAGAACATCTCTATTATGTTTCTGATATTTCCTGTGAAGATCTATTTATTCTTGATCCAGAAGCTTTTTCCTGTATGGATTCTAGTAATAAAGACGTGACAGAGTGCCTTGAAAATATCTGTTCTAATGCATCAGTAGTGGTTAAAGCAGATGGTGAGGATAATCATGAGATAGCAGAAGATTTGCTGGAGAGCCCTCTTAACTCAAGGTATGGAGCTCTTAATCACATTTTTTTTATGATGTTATTGAGGAAATCCCATAAAAATGTCATTTGAGTTAAATATATCAAAAGTTTTAGTGTTAAACTTTTTGGAAAATGATGTTACAGTGTTAGTATTCATTGCCACTTGTGATTTTTTATATTACTGTTAAAAACAACTCATCAGTTTGTCAATAATCAATCAACATAAATAATTCACTGATTATTTAAACAAAATAAGGATCAAAAATGTAACTGTATACTAATGAATGGCGATATTGGTCATTTTAAAGTAATATGAATAAGAAAAAATATCAATTAAAGCAAAAACAACACAATCACTCTTTGCTTTAAAATATACGTCTTTTGTTCATATATGTAAGCTGAACAAGTACTAATTTCAGTGTACTAATCAAATACAATGAAAATTAAGAAAGAATGATGCAGCAGCTACTTACAGATTATTAGGTTATACTAAAACTAGTCAGCAATTATTCTTTCATTCAAAATAGGTCTAAATTAATAAAAGTTTTCCAGCACTAAAAGTTTAATTTAAAGTGAGTTAAGATGTATGTATTGAAATGGTAAATGGTTTCTTTATACATAAGTGGCAGCCAACTATAGTTGCACTTACTAGTTTAAAATGTTACAGTATAACAGGCATTGTACATCTTTTTTTCATTGATAATCAGCAGTCTTAGTGGTATGGTTTGGTTTGTTTTGAATTTTGCGAAAAGCTACATGAGGGCTATCTGCGCTAGCCGTCCCTAATTTAGCAGTGTAAGACTAGAGGGAAGGCAGTTAGTCATCACCACCCACCCCCAACTCTTGGGCTACTCTTTTATCAACGAATAGTGGGATTGACCATCACATTATCATGCCCCCACGGCTTAAAGGCCAAGCATGTTTGGTGTGACGGGAAATCGAACCCGTGACCCTCAGATTGCGAGTCGAGCGCCCTAACCACCTGGCCATGCCGGGCCTTAGTGGTATTAGCTTTATTTTAGACAGAATAACTGTAATCTACTTATTTAGGAATTTCAAGTTTGTTACAGCTTAAAAACATTTATTTCTGTATTGTATTTACATATTTAAATTAGGTTCATCTTTACAGTTGAATTTGAATTAGGAATCGGTTCACCTCGAAAAATAATTCATTTATTTTAGTATGATTTTGTTCATATCTTGTTTGTACAGGTCTTATCTACTTAGTATTTTGTCACAGAAAATCAACAACTTTCTTGTACACGGAAACATGTTTATGTTTGACATATATGAGTTATCATATTAAAGTTTTTTTATGTGGCACCTTCTATTTAACATGCAAAGAAATAAAAATCATCACTTTTTAACAGTTATTGCTTATCTTGTTTGTTGTTTTTTTTAAATCAAGGAACAATACTGAAGCTTTGGCTGAAGGTGAGCTGTCATCAAATATATATTTTGGTTACAATAATTTTCACAAAAAATAGTAATATACTAATAATGGTAACAACTATAATTTTACTACTGCTACTGGTAAATTACTTAACTTATTAAAAACGTAATCATTCAGAAATTTTCATACAGTGAGAAAATATAATTAAGCAAATTGAACATTTCACTGATACTACAAAAGAATTATATTATTAAGTATTATATATATATGTTTATCTCTTGATATTATGTAGCTCAAAATTTTGTAACTTAACATATCATCTGTGCTTCACAATATTCTAAATTATATGTGCCTAGAACTGTGTGTAATGCTATTACTTATGTATTTAAGTTTTCTTATATACACTGAATATTTTTATGCTGTATAATATTGTATTTTTAAAAGGGTTCAGTTATAATAATATGAAAAATCAGAAGATTAAAGAGGTGAAAAGAGACTAATAAAAATGAATGTAACTTTAAAATATTTTAGTTAATTAAATGGTTGGTCCATATTAATTGTAATAACTAATCACATGAATATGCATAAATATTAAGTCTGTTACAATATAATCATTTTACAATATTTTGACCAGTTACCCTTCATCAAGTCCCATTGTGATACTCTCTTGCACATGTATCAACTGTAAAATTGAAACTTAAACTGCCAAAGTAATTCCAATTAACTGACAAATCATAAAAGTCTAATAACTAACCTACCAACAAGGATGGAATTTTGTATTAGAAAAAAAAAATAATTACTCTACATTTGAGTATAAACCATTAAAGATGCTTTATTGGCAACAATTGTGATCATTAATGTCATTCATGGTCATCTTTACTACCTATCTATTTATTAATGTATATAATAGTTTAACTAGTTAAAAAGTATCTAACTGACAATTACTAGTAGCTTAACCCTTTAGTTCATTTGGTAGAGCACTGGTGATTGAGAAGTCTCAAGTTCAAAGCCAATTTAGGAAGAAGAAAAATTTTTGATTAATACAGAAAAACTGACACCTAACTAGTGGTTGTCCCAGAACCTTGAGATAAGACCTGAGGATTAGTCTTGTTTATGAGAAAGGAAAGAATATGGTAGTTTAAATTATTAACAAGTGCCATACTACCAATTTTTTAATTGCAGGTTAAATCTTTAGCTCGGTTTGGAGAGCACTTGCTTGTAGTGTGATTGAGTAGTCCCAGCTTCAAATTTTATTTAAGCAGAGACTAAAAAAAAGTTTATTACCATATGTACGTGTATGTATTTAAACATATGTGACCCAAAATAATGTGCCTTGAATTAAATTATAAACTTTTGTTATAGCAGTGGTTATTCGAAGCTAGACTTCATATGTTATATAAATATAATTAGGATATGTCAGTACACTTTTATGGAGTTTTATAAATCTTAATCATTGCAAAGCCAAAAACAAATCATAGGATTTCACACACTAGTGATTTAGGTTGCTTTAAATTGGAGATGCTTGTATTTTGGCTTAATGAAAATTATTTAATTTCAACCACCAAAGAAAGCTATTAATAATAAAAATATGTATACACAAATTTTCAAAGTCTAAATAACCTAGTAAAATATCTACCTTTCACTGTAATAATTGTTTCAAAACTTTGTTTGGCCATAGCCATGGACATTTTTTAAGCACTCTTTCAATCTTGTGAAATTATATGCTGCAGATTTACAGTTATTAACATCACATGTACATAAAGCATAAAAAATCTCATAGAAAATGTTGTGTTAATAAAGTATGAGAACTTGTTGACTTGAAGCAGCTTTACATATGTATACTTGCATCATTCAGAAAATCTTTGTTTGAACACTAAATTCACTTATGACATAATATTTTCAGAATAAAAAAGTAATAATTTGATTTAAATCTATCAGAAATACTCAATAATATTATGTGGCAAAGTCATCCAAACAGTTTATTTTAACTTATTTTCGGTTAATCTTTATCTGTATAGCACATAGCAAGAATTTAATATAAGCAAGTGTTTTAATTGCATATTGTTTGTGTGAATATGTAAAAATAATTAGAAACAAAGTCCTGTCATAGTGTCTAATGTTCTGTGTTGTTTCAGATGTATTATCAGCTGTAAAGAATTGTGACCTTGCTAAGGTTAGTATTTTTTGGAATTTATATATATATTGGAAAGTATTATGAACCAAAGTTTGTTTGAGAAGATTAATGCAAAATATAGTTTAGAATTATATTTTAATCGTTGAATAATATATAAGTAGTTCATTTAAGAAAATTAGAAGGCATTGGGAAAAATCAGTGTGTTGTTCTAAAACAATTTACACTATATGCATTTAATTCATATTTAATATTAGCATTATACTTAATCCCTTTATTATTGACTTTGTAATATAATCAGTAAATAAAAGTAATCAAGTGATTAATGAAAACTTATATTTTGCTCATGTTTTCTCCTGTATTAGTAGGCCATGAAGGACACTATAGATAGTTGTAGGTACTTAATTGTTTCTAGTGTTACATTATTAATCTTGGTAGCACAATATTAAACAAAACGTTAAGTTGTTATACATAAATGGGGCTGCACTCCTCTTTAAATGCATGGAAATGCTTTTCTTTCCTTAGTTAAAAGACTTGCATCAGAATGGTTACAGTCTACAAGGTGTCAATCAACAAGGAATGACTGCATTACATTATGCTGCTCAACTTGGATTAAAAGACATTGTGAGTTATTTATTAGCTTCAGGTGAGTATTTATTCTTAAAATATATATTAAAATTTACTCTCCTGTGTTAGCAACATTACGTGCCTCTAATATATGGACTAGCCAGAACATTACCTTATATATACAATTATAATTGCCTGGGCTCAGTATAGCTAAGTATAGGCTCCACAAGATGTGGAATGGTGCCTGATTTGGTTCAAAAATGTTGGGAGAGGATCATTTTATATTTAAGATAAGCTATTTTTGGTTTTTGATCGCCATGTGAGAGTTTATTTAATGTCATTCACATGGGACAATTTAAGTTAGTGCAAGGTTGAAAGATTTTTTAACTTTTGGGGGACAAAATTTGCTTCTATTACACTTTACAGATGTTTCCAGTCATCTTTTTCCTTTCAAATCATCAGCAATTGCCAATCACAAGCTTTCCCAGTGTCAGACTTATTCCTTTTCAGTTGCCATGTTGATAGCCTCTGGTAACAGATGCCAATAAAGAAATGGTCTTTCTTAACAACACTCTTACTAATAACACTGTTTCATATAAACATACCATGAATTTCTACATTCTTTTTTTAATACTGGATTTTTTTTAATTTATCACTGATTCTGTATGTGTGAAGTTTCACGTAACACATGGTCAAGCAAGTCATTAACTTTATGGCATTCTAGAATTCCTTTTTTCCTTGTCATTCTGTTACAGTCACAAAATAAAATCAAAGCAGTTGCACTTTTAAACATTTTTTCAAAATCACCTAATACATATCAAAAAGACTGTTGTGCTTTTGGATTTCTCATACAAACTTTAGAACATTGACATCACTCACCTTTTGCCTATAACAATAATGTATACTGTTAGTTTGCAAAAAAAAAAAATGGTTGCATTTTAATGACTTTATAATTCCCAGATATATTTTCTCATAATCAAAAATTTTTATGTCAAGTCTTCAGTCATAATCAAGAGTGCTAAGTTGATTTTAGAATCTGCTGTAGAAAAAGCTTTAATGATCAAAATGACATTTGTAAATATGACACAATCCTTTCATGTTTCACCAAAGGACTTTTATTTCAATTATGGGTCATATTTTAATGTTGTAAAAGGTTAAAACAGTTGTCTTCAGCTGGAAATATGTTAAATGCTAGAAAGGATGCATTTGTCTTCACTTCCTAAACAAGCCAGTAGGTATTGTTATTATCTCTAAGTTTCTATTCCCTGACTGAATGTGTTCAATTGTCCCAGTTAGTGCTGTTGTAGACTTAAGTCATAATGATTTGACTTATTATGAGTCATGTTACTAACTTTATTTAATACTCAGTGTTAAATGTTACCAGAACACTAAAATCTCAATTTGTTTATTTTTACCACAAATACAGACCCCACAAGTTTGTCACAGTAATCTTATTTGTAGTGGTCCCTGTCAGATAATCAGTTTATTGTGTTAACATATTCTTCTGTTATACATCAAAATTATCTTTGTAAAGGATATAGTTTTCTCTATCTAACGATAGATAAAATAGTTGGTTTTAGATTCATAGATTTTACTATTAATGTTATAAAAATGACATAATGAAGCAGCTTTTCTTTTCTATGACATTTTTCATGTTATTACCATGTTCTGAAAAAGATATGAACTTGTTTTTTGTGTACATATATATAAAAGAGTAAACCAGTACTGTAAAAATAACTTTATGTATATTTGTTAAGGTTTATGTACTGTACATTTTATTCTTTATATCTCCAGGCTTTTCTTCTTCCATGCTAGACATGGTAGATCATGAAAAGTAAGTGCTTAATTATTCTTGATTAGTAAGTTGAAATGATAATTTTGTGAAATTTTAAATAGCATGTAACAAAGGTATTTCATTATTTCCAGTGGAAATTATTTTTCACACGACTCTCACCATTTCTTTAAAAAATTGTAACAAGATTTATAAAAGTTGGATTGCATTTGTCTAAAACATTTAAGTGTAAAAAGAATATTTTAAAACTGTACATCCCTGTTCAAAAAAAGAAACTCAAAATATCTCTTTGTGGCTTTACTCTCATATTTTCGTAATTTTTGAATTATTGGAAGATTATTATTGCTATGTATAACACTGTTGGATACACCTACAGAGGGCAGACAGCTCTTCATATGGCAGTAATCAACAAACACAGTGACATTTGTAACATGCTAATATCAGCTGGTGCATCTTTACACAAAATGGAAAAACAGGTTTGTTCATGCAGCCATTTTCCTTTTATATGTAGCTGTAACCTTTTGTATAGTAAACAAGCTGAAGGAAAACAATAAAATTATCAACATTTTATAGAGAAGCATAATTTGTTAGTAATTTTGGAACTTGAAGTATTTATCTAAAGATTGGAGTTAGCAGAGTTAATTTACAACTGCAAATTTTCAATGATACATTTTCTAGAACTTTCTTTAACTTCTAGTTTTGTGCATTCAATATGTGACAACTAGATGATATTAATCCTAAAGGGTGGTTTATTGTTTACTATCTTTTAAGTCTAATTAAATGCTAAAAAATGAAATTAAAGGATTTAACAGAACTTAATACTGCTAAACTTATAACCTAGCCTTGCTCACACTGTAGATAATAACTACTCAAAACAAGCTGTAACTTTAGCTTAGTTGATTTACTGATATAAGCTTTGTGCCACCCCTTCCCCTCACTTGGTGGATTATACATACTAGACATATTTCATGTTTGCAAAGTGATTTTAAGTACTTAATATATGTCCTAGCCTCTACCACATGATGAGTGTTTGATAGCAGATGGACAGATAGAATGTTTAATAAACAGATTTGTAAAATTAAACTGACATAATATTAAGTTTCTTTCCATGTAATATTAAAATTTGCATGACTGTATTTCTTAATTATAATATATAGTTAAATATATGTATCTAATTTTGCAATGTTTACATGCAACAGAATATTTTACTTTCATATAAATCTTCCATTAATGGCTGTTGACAAAAAAAAAACATGCTCTCAACATAATTAGTTTGTGTACATTCTTGGAAACACAATGAAGGGAAATTCATTCATGTAATTTAGAAATTAAGAACATTTAAAGGAAATCCGATAAGCAAAAATTACATACCAAAATAATCATTGTTCTGATTGAGTTACTTGTATGCTGGAGCAAGTAAAAAAAAATTTTGTAAGCAACATTTTTCTTGCAAATCCACTGTCACTAGTGGTAATATTATTGATATGCTACTTTTACTAGAACAATGCATTAAAAGTATTTTGTAAAAAAAAACAAGAAATGTTTGGAACAATGAAATTGTCTGTTTATTTAGTTAACTTCATATTTTGTATTTTCTCAAAAGTAGAAATAAGCCTGTCTGTTAATTCCAAAGTGCAAGATGTTTGTTTACTTTGTAATGTATCCAACAATAGTTTTGTTAGCGAAGCTATCTACAAATCAGAAGTAATGATTAATCAGTTTCCAAGTTAACAATTTGTGAGGAAGCTACTTTTATTTTATTATTTAGTTATGGTTTTGTTTGTGTATTTTTTCTACTATAATTTTGTTCAGCTATATTTTTTATTTACCTTTAAAATAGTATCTCACCTGCCTTCTAGCTTATTTTAATATTAAACAAGTTATTTTTTTTAAGAAACTAACATAAGGTTCCCCTAGTGGTAACATATGGCTACTAAATTCAGGCATGATTATGTAAAACAAATTCTAATGTGTCAGTCACATGATAAATAATCTTGTGATCTAGCAAGGAAATAAAAAGCCTGCAGCCTGACATTATGCAAGATTGTCAAATGGAGTTAGACTACAGTTATATAAGATATATACATTGATTGATTAACAAAAGAAATAGATTATTGCAGATATTCACTTGATCATTACTTGTGATTTAACATTATTTTGAGAACTGTTTAATATTATTATTTTGTGTAATCTAACAGATTTAGTTTTTTCATTCTTCTGTTGTTGTTGTTTTTTTCCTATTTCATTATTATTACTTAGTGTGATTTGACAATGACAACTTTGCCGTTTTTGTTTTGAACATTTATGTTCAAAGTATTTAATTATAAAAAGACCTGGTCAGGTACTAATTTATTAATTACTAATATTCTGTAAAACTTGTGTTTACAAAATTTATCTTACCCTGATAGTAAGATGGTTGAGTGGTATGTAACATTAATATTGTGGTTGTTTGTTATGTACCAAGTTTTGAGAAATCAAATATTGGTGATGTTGGTATAGATGTTGCCATAAAATTTAGTTTAAAGATAATAAAGTGTTTCAGTTTGCTTGTTGTTGTTTTTTGATTATATTTTAAAAGTTCATTTCAGACAATTATTGTTTGAAATAAATGTGTGTTCTTTAAATTTTGTCAAGAAAGAAACATTGATGAAACATTTTGCCACAGTATAGGAGATAATTTATCTATCTTTTTAAAATATTTATCATCTGATATTTGTCAAAAAGTCCTAAGAAGGTTTTTTCTTTAGGGAATGACCCCTAGTCAGCTTGCAAGTAGTGTAGGTTATCAAGACTTAGCAGATTACCTTGAGAGTAAGTAGTTTAGTTGTTACTATAATTGAATTTTGCATGGCTCTGTTTACTGCACATTTCTGATGAAACACATCCATAAATATTACAAACATTATATCTTTGATAATTATTTTTGGTTAGATAATAAGTGTGCTCTATTTTATGGATATAAATGTAATAGATCCAAATTAATTACATTTAACTTATACAAACTTCAATAATTTTAACTAAAACAAAAGAAACAGATTAATATTTTTTTGTCCAACCACCAAAGTAAGAAAGTTATTGTGATAACACTGTTTTAGAATCAATAATTGTGAGGTTTTAAACACATAATGTCATTCAAGAATTTCAAATTGAGATGACTGTTTAAGATATTGGATTCATAGACTTCTGAGTGAAAGCCATGTGTATCTCATCTTGTACAAACAATTAGCTGGAACAGCATAGCACTCATAATCACTTAGAAGTTACAAGACTACATTGTACTACTGTATGGCTATTTAATTGATCAATTACAAAAAATATTTCATAAAAACATAGCAAATATTTTCACACAGCCAGAATACAGTAAACATTGCCAAACCACAAATAATAAAGGGGAAATTAATCAAAATGAAAACCCAAGCTAAATGAAATGGTATAGAAAAATACAACCATAAAAAAACTAGTTTTGTTACTATAAAAACAATCAGTCTTACAGTTCTGATAAATTCAACTAAAATACCTAATAAAACCCTAAATTTATAACTAATTTTGGAGAAAGAAGTATAGCACCCATAGATATAAAAGCCCTTTGCCAGCTCAAAATATTTTCCACATTCCTCTCGATCTCCTCACTGAAAAAGATATAACCGAGCAACATACCAACATCTACCTTTTCTTTTTTTCTGTTACCATTAAACATAAATTTTGAAAATAATTTATAATTTTCTTGTACATTGAGATAGACTATTTCTGATTTACAGGACAACATACACTTAATTATAAAACCAGCTTTTGAAAGCTCATTAAAAACTAAATTTTGTTACTCTATGGTATTCAAGTACACTGAAATCTAACAGATAGTTATAACTAGCTGCAGTATAGTATTGGTTACCAGCCAGTCAGCTTCTATTTGTTTGAAGCTGCTGGAGTTGAAGAGAGGGTTTTTCCAAATGCATCTGTATGAAATAATGTCACAAGAAAGAATAATGTAATAACACATTTTAAAGTCAAGCCAGAGTCCTAGTGTGGTATCCCACAGTTCTCAGACTATCTACATCATTCCAAATAACTCATACAAGGGAGAGAACCCCCAACTCAAATGAACTTGTAAAAGTATCTGAAATGGGCTCACCCCATCCAAAGGAATAGACACAGGTTCAGTCTAGTACAAGCTTTTATGGGATAGACATAGTCATGTGTAACTTTTACCATAACAAGAGGATTAGTACATGCTTATATTCTTTCAAGATCCAACTTACAAGAATATCATTAACTATGTGCAGAACACCTATACAAAAATTTTGAAAAGTTACCTGAATATATATATCTTGCTATATATATATTCTAAACTAGTTATGGAAGGGTGAAATTTACAGTTATTTCAACTGTGACAACTGAAACACTCTATCAACTAAGCAACAATAAATTTCATCAAAGTTTGACGGAAAAAAAAATTCTATTGAATACTTCCAAAAATAGAAAATGCAAATGTGTGAAAATAATTTACAAAAAATAGAAGATATCCTGTTTGTTTGGGTTTAAGTGCAAAGCTACACAATGGGCTATATGCACTGTACCCACCACAGGTATAGAATTTGAGTATTATGGATCCTCAAACTTACTGCTTAGCCACAAATGAGAGCAAAGACGTTCTGAATTTACTAATACCAGCTATTTCTAGAATCCTACCCATTCTATATTATAATTGTAAAGTAAATTTTAGTTTTTATTATTAATTAATAACTATATAAGCTTTATTATTTCAACCAGCTTACAAACATTGTGCTGAATAAATTTTATATCATTGTCAGAAAGCAAATCATTTTTGTAATCAACAAATTTTAAATATCATATTTGTTTTTTGTTGTTTTTTTTCAAATTCCAGGTTCTGAATGCTTGTATTTTTGGAAAGGGGAAAAGGAATCATCTGTATGAAGGTTTTTATTTATAGTCAGAAAGTCAACTTGCTGACTTTAAGGTATTATGGAATCCAAAAGTTTACACAAATTATTCAATGTATTGATGAATAAGCAAGTGTTCCTGTAAAGACCTTAAGGGGCGTAATTACTTGCTTCATGTCAGAACATATGAGATAAGAGAGTTTTAAGCTTAATATCCTGATTGGTATCACATGGTAGACTAAATTTTAAAAATATGATTTAGTCACTGTGAAATCCAGTGAAGCAGATTATGAGGCTTAGTGTTTTCAATCGTTTCTAAAAAGCTGTTTGATGCATGTTTTTTATAAGTTTATAAATATAAACAATTTTAATCTATTATATAACTTGTGAGTTCAAACTTTGTAGCTAGATTTATAAAATGTTCTTTAATCATAATTAAATTCTCAACTTTTCTTTGAGATACATTTGTTCCAGATTCATATTGTGTTTTTGTTTTGCTCTTAAAAGATTCCATTCCACTTTTTAGATGAAAGATAAAGAGTAAGAATAAAATATTAATTGATGGGCAGTGTTTTTTGTTCTGTTACAACTATAAAATATTTTTCAAACTATTAGTTCTATTGCAAAACTTATATTTCTCAAAACAAGTAATGGGTTTTCAAATTTGCTATCACTACAATAAATTATTAAATTATATTGTATTTGAAATTATAGTCGATAATGAGATATTTTATTTTGCATTATTTAACTCCTGAATGTTTCTATAAGCAAAAAAAAATGTGGTAACTTTAACTTCTTATTATATTGGCATTTTGAAGTTCAGTTATAAATATAATAAAGTTAATTCGTGACCAACACTTAACTGTTACAGAAGTTAAAACATTTGTCTTTTTTATTCTAATAATAACAATAAGGAAAAGCTAGTTATTTCGAAAGTAAAATTATGAAGATGAGCCATAAAGTTTCTTTAATATTAATTTTGCACTAACTGTTAATGATATTAAAATTAATAAAATTTACTGGTGCAAAAATATTGAGTTTGAGAAACTATTGATTTTATCTGTATTAATGAGCATAGTAAAGTTTCATCAACTATGTTCATGACCATTTTGTAAGCAACCTAACAGTACATGCTTATCACTTCTTTAATTAACTCTATTGGCAATATTAAGGTCAATGGGATGTTAAGTATTCTAAAAGTATTCATTATAGATGTGGCTGTTATCATCAGCTTTAATTATTGATATTAATTATCACAATTAGTTTGAAGAAATTCATAAATTAAATTTTGAAGGCACAATTTATATAAAGGTTGCATGGTCTCTTTCTGTGTGTTTCTAAGAATTATAGCAGTCTTATCAAACGTTTACCTAAGAATGATTATTAAAAAAAAAAACCTGTTTTTCAAAATAAAATATAAACTTTGTTATCATATGTATTATATTGATTACAAATATGTGAATTATTTTATAACAAATTTCCTCTAATTGGAGGATTAAAACTGTAAAAATTATGATTGTGATGTTATTTAAGATCTAGTACATTTTTTAGGTGTTTAAATATAACTGTAACATTTTTATAATGTTGTTCCATTTGTAGAATATAGAAACTTATAATGTATTTCACTATTGAACCAGATATTTTCCTTCTCACTTAGTTGTTCAATTCTTTAAACTATTAATTATATGTATAATGTATATATTATTAAAAAATAGTAATAGCCAGCTTTATAAAGCAGAGAAAATTTGCAATTTCTCAAATAATTGAGGAGTACCTCATTAAATGGTAGTTTCTTTGAAACCTTGGAAAAACTTTTAATATGTTCTAGATAGTAATTTTTCTATTCATTAGTAGCTAATTAAATCATTCTAGATCAATGTCATTCACAAAACATTCATTTTCTCAGTAAAAAAAAGAACAATTAAATGTATATTTAGTTGTACAGACTTTCCTAGTAGAGTGGTGAAGAATACTTTAAATGCTTTTCCTACTAATTCTTCATATTTTTTTTTGTAGGTTTTTCTTTCATTCAGCTAACTTGTGGCACATAGCACACTTTCAAAATTGTTTAATAAATGCATTATTTGGCAAATATGAGGTCTGATTTCATTATTTAATCAAATATGTTTATTAATGGACAACTAATAGAAAGGAATAAAAATTAAAGGAAATAACTTTCAAAATATGTATTGTTAAAACTACTTTAATCATTTTATAGTATTGTATAACTTCATAATGCAAATTCAGACAACTGTAAATGGCTAGACAAGTATATATGGTTATGTTTATTGTGGAAAAATGTTTGATTATAATGTGAGGTCATAAAAGGTTATTTTTTCAACAAGTATTATCATATGATAGATTCAAAAGTATTGCAGTCACTAAAATTGGTATAAGGTTATGAACAGTATGTTCAACTGCTATTTATAAAGTGCAAATGTATGCAAAAAGTGACATACTTAGAGAAAGGGACCACTGTGGTTATTATTTATGTCTCCAAAATGATTTGCTCTATTGTGTTTCAATTTTCATTGCTTTGATCTTAGCATTAGATTGTTCAGTGTGTTAATAACTTTCATATCGAAAACGAGCATAAATATACATGTATGTGTCTTGTACTAAAAAGATGTTTCTAGAGTTAAGTTGCTTATAGAAACTGTAATATTTTCAAGCGATGAAACTTGAATTTGATTTTAACAAATATGTGAATTTAATACTCTTTAATATTTGGAAATATAGTTACTCTTATGAAAATTTTGGGAAAAATACCATTTGGTTCTGTTTTCTGTGACATTTACTTATTTGATATGATCACCAATATTTCACTGCTTTCTCTGTAATTCATTAAGCAAGCTTTTATTGTAGAAAGATTTCAGTGCCTTTTGTGAACTTTAATATGAGGGTTGACTATCAATATGGATCTTGTATTGCATACAACTTTGTGTTCAGTATAGAAGACACGTTATTTTGGAGTTTAATGCTTACAGGGAAATTTTTGCATTTATCAGTCTTGAACACTTGGGTAAGTTTTTAACAAAGCATATGTTTATTGTTAATCATGTTTCACTGGTTCATGGAACAATAACTTTAAACAACACTGAAGTACGAGTTAATTTAGTAACCTAAAATATATTTAATTTACAGCATTTTTTTTTTCCATTGGAGGGGGTTTGAGAATGTTTTATGAATGTTGCATTGAACAAATACCTTATTTCTGTACTTGAAATTAATTTGGGGTAAAATCTCTAACATTGTTTTATATGGGCTCAACTTAAGGTTAATGAACAATATTTAGCCAAGTACTAGTAGTAGTTTACTTTACAGTCACTGTTTGACAGCTCAAAGTGCCTTTATCAAGAAGCAGCAAAAACAGAATTAGTTACACTTGCATGCCCATTTCTTGTTCTTGAGTACAAAACTTTCATTTTGCAGAGACCTGTTCCATTTTGCTAACTTATTCTTTGCCATTCTAAAATCATTTAAATCTGTTTTCATGAGGTCTTGCTAAAACTGCAACACTTTCTCAGCTTTTAAATGGCAGTCATTTCATTAAATAAATTCATATATCTATCTATCTTTAACTTGTAATTGAAAACTTACATTATAATATTAAGTACTAAATATTACAAACACATTCAATAACATATTAAGGTAATTTCACTTTTTAATTTTTCTCAAAGTTTCTTGATCATTGAACTTTTTTATAATAAGAAACTAATTAAAATACAATTCTTAAAAGTATACAGTTTAAAAAATCTAAACCTGTCGTTAAATTAAGACAATAATTAGAGTTCTATGTAAATAGGAATGTTATTTGTATGAAAGTAAGTGATTCATAGTAAATTATTATTATTGTCTATGCACCTCCTGCTTAGTAATGCTTCACTTTTAATGTTGTTCACACTTCTAAACACATTCATCTTAGATGCATTCCATCTAATCAGCATAATTACAAATAAGCATCATTTACTACTGTATCTTATCTATGGTTAGTCTTACTTCTGAAATATCATTACGTAATATTGAACATAATGATTATGGTGTTAGTTTTGATATATGGTGTTGATCTTATTAATATAATGCAATGGTACTACTGAAACACTACAAAGCTTAGTATTACATTGCACATGGTACTATATACAGAATGCTTTCAATTACTACAATATTTAGTCTTGATTTTACAACATTTCATGTCACAAGTTTGATATTCTGAAGAAAAATCTGAATTGCTGATTATGTGACATCTGAGAAGACAATCAGGTCATTTAAGTGTTTCTATTGTACAAAGTGAGCTTTAGTATTTTATATCCCACAAAAAAACATTTGATTTCTCTTAAACTTGTTTAACTAGAAATTCTATGTACATTCCATTTTCTCATCCTTAATGTATATGAGCAGTATCACCACGATCTTTTTATGCACTGTGAACTATAGTAGCTTATTATACAGACATTTGTGTTTAAAATTTTGAATAAAATCTATTTTTCTTCACATATTACTCCAGTCTTGTGTATATATTCCTTCTCTCAGGTCCATATTTAAGGATTATTTAGAAATATTGTTGCGTATCTGCTTGTTTGTTAATTTCACGTAGAAATTCTTTCCGAGAAACTTCAGCAAAACAAGTCCTTTCTTAATTAAAACTAGTTTATTCTTTCTCGATACAACTTTGCAATACACAGAATTTCCACAGTCAATATGTTTGTAATCTCGATAACAAAACACACACTTTATATTACCGTCACTACCGCTCACTTGGCTCAATTATCTCACTCTAACTATCTGCAATTATCATCTCGCTTTATTTGCCGGGCTTATATACTAAAAGAGAAAGTGTCTAGAATGCACTCAGGCCTTCATGATCCTTTTAGAAAATCATCAAGTGTTACCAGCATTATATGACTTCCGCTGTCGTAACACTGCCCCTTCCTTAGTATTTTTAGTCCCGAACAATAGCCACTTACATTAAACCAATGGATAATTAACAATAACTTGATTAAATGTACAGAATTTACAAACACAACATTAACATTCAACAAAGTCTCTTAATTTTATGGGACGTATCTTCTTCCGTACTGATCTCCGTCTCGTTGGCTTCTGCTTCACTTGAGGTTCATTTGCTCCATCAGGAATTGTCGTATCATCGGTAATGATCACCTCAGTTGTAGTAACTTCATAAAGGGCTACACTGTTTCCCTTCTCAAAACCGAGTAGTTTCTTCCTCGACAGTGGCCTTTCCAGGTAACACGACTTCAGCAGCACCTTTTGTCCCATTGTTCACTTCATT